TCTTTGGAGTATGGGAGGGAACCCCACGTAGGCACAGGAATAACATGCAAACTCCAGGCAAGTAGTGCTGTGGTTGGGATTTGAACAAACAACCCTGGTGCTGCCAGACAGAAGTGCTAACCACTTAGCCACTGTGCTGCCACCCCTGATAAAAAATACTCCTGAAACACCATTAGTGAGAATTTATAAAAAAATGTATCTGGAATTCTGGAGTTGAGCCTTAAGAGAAAATTATCAAAAGCTGCTTAAGTAACATGCAGCTTAGTGAATTCACCCCGAAGATCAGTTTTACTAGATAACTCTAGATCACTGAGAGTGGTATGACTACCACCATAGGTGCTTTTGCAGTTTTTATGGGGCTCAGGATATGGGGGGGGGGGGGGGGCCTAGTGACGAGAGTGCTTGAAAAATAGAGTAAAAAATGCACCAAGAGTCATTGATCCCTCCAACCATTATTATTATTATTATTTGGGGTGCTTATCACTGTAAAGGGAACTTTTTTGTAAAGAAACAGGTCATCACTGCCAACCGGGTGTTATAGAGAGGACATTATACGCTGTAGCTGACTTATCATTGGAGGACATTAGATATCTATTTTTAGCCCCCCTGCACATCCGTAGGACAATACATTGGTGAGGCAATGTAAAAGACACCATTATCAGTAGGGTCAATTTTTATTTTATTTTTGGGTAGGCAATCAATCAAAATTTTACTTTGGGGTCCAGAGATTTCTAGTTATATCCCTGGTCCTTGACATGAAAAAGGTTATGAACCACTAATAAAGACAAATTAAATCAAATTTGGAGGTTTAACTCATTCTGGGGGGAATATCGAGAAGTGAAACTCTTTGTAAGGCTAGGTTCACACCTATGCAGTTTGTGTTTGATCCATTTCTGCAGTACTTTTTGCGGTCCGTTTTGCGTCCTTTGCACATGCATTTTTTGCCACATTTTTGCAATGTTTTTGATGCGTTTTGCGTTTTTTTTTCCTTGTTGCTAGGCCGATTAAAATGCAAAATGCAGCAAAAATACGTTAAAAATACATTAAAAATGCACTACATGCTTTTCTGCAGCATTTCCATTGAAGTCTATAGAACCAGAAATGCAACTTTTTGCATTGAAAAAAGTCCCTCACCCTTTCCAAAAAACGCACCAGGTAAAAAACGTGTGAACTTGTCCCATAGGAAATCATGTTCAATGGACTTTATTGTATTTCTGCAAAATGCAGAGGAAAACACTTAAACCTAATGTAAGACAGATTTATCAGCTTGCCTCTATACATATCTCAAATACAAAATCTGGAATTGCCCTGGCAAAAGTATTGTAACCCTTTCATTGTGTAAATAAGAATTTACATGCCAGTGATGCCAGTGATAAGCAGATAAAAAGAGAGACGTTCACTTAACCTTTGCTCATGTGTGTCTGTCTGTGCCACATACTAAGATGGACAACAGAAAGAGAGACGAGAACTGTCTGAGGACTGACCAAAATACAGAGTCAGGCAATGGCTGCTTTCTCTATAGCCTCCCACACATGGTCTGCTTCATAAATCTTTAAAGTTCCTCTCAAGCATATGACATTTAGTTTCTGTATTGGATGTTATTGTGAAAATCTTGTGATAAACTCCAATATATCAGAGGGTTAATATATGCCCTCGTACTTGTCAGTGTTGCAGGATATGTAGCACCATTACCCTTTAGAGGTAAACACATTTTTTAATACATTCACATTATATTCTAAGTGACTAGAAAAATAAATAAAAAAATAGATATAAAGAAATGCAATTGACCTTTTAATATTTCATTATAAGTATGTTCATATAGGTGGAAAGTTAATCACACTCCAAAGTGGTTTTTATGTTTAACATGAATAGCAACAGTGACCCCTGCAGCCTAAAGAAGCAAACATGCTAAATATTTTTGGTAAAGCGTAAGAAAAGGTCAAAAAAGTTTTATACATCAGGATATATACAGTAGCGCTGTCCACATGTTGTTTTACATACCTGCCCTATAAAAAGACTAAGGAGTAATTATCTTAAAGCAGAAATATTCTACCTCATACCTATGCTTCATACCATTTGTAAAAGAGATCTGTGTGAATACCTTTTCTTTATCAGCTTCAGTATGGTCCCGTTATTTGAAAACTGCGGCTCCCCTGTGTCAGTGAGCTGGTGCTGCAGGAGTGAGCGGCGGCAACAGGGGGGGAAAGATAATGGAAGCCGGTGATGTCATGGCTCTGTGAGATCACCCCCATGTCTTTGGAGTGTGGGAGAAAACCCAATTTAATATTGTTATTTACTTTAGGCCTACTTCACTAAGCTACAATGCCTATGTTGTTTCATTTGACTGCCAGGAGTGATGAATAAAACCAGGGTACTTCTGGGTATGGCCTGCATGTGACTTACTCTCCCTTCCTCCAATGTGATAGCAATAATGGTTGGTGATTGGCCACTCAGGCACCCAAAGCTGTTAAAGAAAAATGGGGAGGAGAGAGTATCAGTCCTTCATAAATGAGCAGCAAGTGGTGGGTGGAAGGTAAGTGTAAGCTGCTGGTATGGCAGCCATTAAAATGAACCTATTGTTTTGTCCAGCAATGCCCAGGTTCACATTACATAGTATGTGTACAAACACAAGGAGTCAGTCAGGTGTGCTGCAGTACAAGGAGCATGCTGATAGCAGAAAAGAGCAGATTGACAGGGAGATGTGCTAATCAGTTTGCTGCTTCTCTTTTAATGGATAATCATGTGAGGGTGGAGATCTGTAAGTGAAAGTGAAACTGCAAGCAGAGAAAGATGAGGACCCTTACCCTGCTAGACCTGGCTGGCCCATGTGACAGATCTGTGTAAATCTGAGGACTAGATAGACAGAAATACGGGTAAACCAGCTTTCATATATGAGGGGAGGGGCTCTGACATCACGACACTTAAAGCCATATACAGCAAGTATTCAACAATATTGAAAAACTATACTGTGGATTAAAATTTCAACATTTTAATGCGTTTTTAACTTTATTTAATAAATTAATTTTAACGAGGATAAGGCACTATATTTCTTTATTACATTTCATGGCTATTACACCTATGGAGAAAATCCCTAAGGAAGCAAGGAGACCCCCTAGTGGGAAGAGGGATATTGCCATCTATTCGGCTCCAGGGAAATCCATAAGGAAGAGAGGGAACCCCCTGCTGGGAAGAGGGAACACTCCATCTATCCATCCCAAAAAAAGAGGGATAATCCTATCCATATACCACTAAGTCCAATTAAAGGGACACAAGCTTTTTATGACCTCACGGTTTGGTCATATAAACCAGGTGAAAGCACAACCGGTGAAGGTGTATAATACTTTTTATCATTGGTGGACTGCACTTTTATTTTTCATATCAAAGCACTAGAAGAAGTGTCAAAGTCACAGACTTAATAAGGACGTGTTTGCAGCAGTAATATAATTGCAGTGATATTGATATATATGTTTTTGATGCTGGACTATTATTTATTTAATATTTATTTATTCACAATTTTATTATTGCAATTGGTAGTGGAGCACGACACCATTTCTGATAGCTTTCATATATGTATTCCATCTGTGTGTTTGATTGCCTGGAGTTCAACATTTAGGCCACATGCACACCTTGATCAACCGCGATTATAATGAATTTTTACACGCAGTGAATGTACAGTATTTCTATGAGGCCATTCACTGTGCAATTAGCTGCGATTTCTTGTGATATGATTAGTTGCATTTAGGATAGACAGGATTGAGCTGGTCCAGGCATGAAGTTTCAGGCATGTGCAGTGGAAATCGCAGCTGGTTGCATAATGTGAATACATTCAATTACATACTGTGCGATTATGTGCAATTTTCCCATCAATATGTAAAAAAACACCCAGGAAAGGGCTGGGTTTGTGGGGGAAAACAAAAAAAGAAGTATGCCTGTGGCCATTTTAGATGATCCATGGCAATGCACACATATCTAATGAAGCAGTATGGCTGCTGCAGAACTTAGCCATGGGGCTATTATAGCCCCAGGACAGGCCAGAGATATGGGTCAATGAATGTCCTGACTGCTCAGAATGTGTAAAAAGGTCCCTAAGTGGGAGGAGGTGTTCTGTATCCTGAACCCCAATTGGGTAGTACTTTCACAGAAGGAAAAAGATAACTGAGGTGAGTGAAACAAACCATGTGTATGGTGTTTGGGATTTATTCCTGGATGCATTTATCTGTGCATTGATGTACCATTTGTGATTTTATTTTCGCATTGTGCCTATGTGCTGTGAGTGTTGACCCCAGAGGCAAATGACTGTGGGTCTTGATAGGTGATGTTTGCATGTTGCATGTTTGTTCTTGGTAAAGAGAGTTTTTTTTAATTCTTTTTATTTGAGTTTGTAGTAAAAGAGGTTACAAAACAGAGCCTCTGGGTATTCCCCAGCTCACTGGGTACTATAATCATAAAAACAAGAAAAACACAACAGAACTTAACAGTAGCTCACTCAAGTCCCTGTTAACCATTATTATTGTCTAGGCAATATACAAGGATGAATAGAGGTCCTGGCAGTTGTAGGAAATTAAAAGGCTGTTTAGTGGGAGGGTACTTAGGTCTGGGTAAAGTCCCTAGTAGCAGTCCAAATACCCAGAGAGTCAAAAGAGAAATTTAGAGGGCAGTAGAACATTATGTATAGCTTCATTAAGGGGAGTCTCAGAACACAAAATCTATTTCCCTATGTTCGGAATAAAAGGAGTGCCTGAGCTCCCTCATCCAGAATCAGAAGCAACCGTAGAGAAGGACCCACACATCCCAAGGTTTATTAAACTTTTTCTGGCATCCCCTGGATATGTAAGTCAATTTGTAAAATGGTACAACTGAATTGACCAGTGTCTTCCAGTAGTTTAACCACCTTCCGCCCGCCCTATAGTACAATGACGGGCGCAAGGTGGTTATCTCGTTTTGATAGGACGTCATATGACGTCCTACCATTCTCACTGCGCATGAGTGGCTCAGGGAGCCCCAGAAGTGCCACCTGTCAGTGCCCATCAATGCCACATGCCAGTGCCCATCAGTGCCACATCAATGCCACATGTCAGTGCATACCAGTGCACATCAATGCCACATATCAGTGCCCATCTGAGCTGCCTTTCAATGTCACCCATCAGTGCCAGTCAGTGCCACCTATCAATGCCAATCAGTGCCACCTATCAGTGCCAGTCTGTGTCGCATATCAGTGCCAGTCAGTGTCGCCTATCAGTGCCAGTCAGTGCCGCCTATCAGTGCCATATATCAGTGTCATGTATCAGTGTCATGTATCAGTGCTGCCTTTCAGTGCCCATCAGTGATGCCTGTCAATGCCCATCAGTGCAACCTACCAGTGCCTCCTCATCAGTGCCCATCAGTGCCACCTATCAGTGTCCATCACTGCAGCTTCATTAGCGCACGTCAATGAAGGAGAAAAATCACTTATTTACAAAATTGTATAACAAAAACTAAGAAAAAACATTTTTTTTTCTAAATTTTCAGTGGTTTTTGGTTTGTTTAAGAAAAAATAAAAACCCCAGAGGTGATTAAATACCACCAAAAAAAAGCTCTATCTGTCTAAAAAAAATGATAAAAATTTCATATGGGCACAGTGTTGCATGACCGCGCAATTGTCATTCAAAGTGTGACAGCGCTGAAAGCTGGAAATTGGCCTGGGCAGGAAGGGGGTATAAGTGCCCTGTAGGCTAGTGGTTAAGGAAGGGTGTTGGGCCTCCATCCACTTCATCTCCACCCCCCCCCCCCAGACACAAACAAGCTGTCAAATTTTTTAAAAACGTGGCCATGCAGGGCTCTGCCCACCTGACCGCGTCACTTATTCACTGTGTGTGACCGAACACCTGGCACCCAACTTGTGCCTTCCATCAGAGAATCGCTTCCTCACCACTGGGACACAGGACCAAGGAATTATAACCAGCCATTGCACCCAAGACTAGACGAGACTAGCTTGGATGCCAAACTGGAACTCTTTATTGAACAGAAACAAATTTTTTAATACACAGCTCCCACAAATATTACACATTGGAATAAACATTCCACACTCATTAGCAGGGACGGACTGACAACTCATGGGGCCCCCGGATAATAGGGGATCATGGGGCCCCTGTGTCTTTGCCTAAACTCAAAAAAGCCTATGAAAAAGGTACCAGGGGCATCGCATGGAGCCCCCTACTGACCTCGGGCCCTCGGGCAGTGCCCAAGTTTCCAAATGGTCAGTCCACCCCTGCTCATTAGGTAAGAGCTTGATCACATTATCCTAAACAATGCAAAAGGAAAACAGTACAGCCAACAGCTAAGAGTGATCTAATTAACAGTGAGCTAATCAGCAGCCAAGCACCCAGACAATGCTTTGATTAATCAGGGAGCACACCACAGACAGACCGGCACCCCTGAATATACAAGTCCATTACACATGCTGTCTATCAAGTGTTTGCTTTCACTGTCCATCATAAGACAAAACTCATACAATATTCCAACAGTCTGAACAGTGGAATTAATTCAACTTCATAGATTTCCTGAGGCAGATTGTTGATAAATATTTCTGCCCCAAATAGAGGAGCTTCGCCAACCCAGTCCTCATGAGGGCCACCATATTTCCTCTGACAGGTAACCTGTACAAGATTATTATTACACCTTTTCATCCATTCCAAAAGGGAAGAGTTATTGTCTGTATGCAGAGGATTAATCCAAGCCTCGCTCTCAGCATTCATCACATTGTTGTCCATCATTAGAGAGTGATCTGCTCTCTCCATGGGCCATAATCAATGGGTAGAAAGTTAGCCCCTAGTCCCCTCCAAAAGCCCCTGTCCCGGTTGGTCTGTCACACTGTGTACTGTGTATTAGAAACTAAAATCTAAATGAGAAAGTCCCTACAAGTTCTCAATTAACTACCACGGCACTGTGGAGTCCCATGGTAGTTCATTGACTCTTCCTGTCAGTATACAGTATCTGCTTGCCTGTATATCCGTACCTGCAGGCAGATATAGTAACAGATCTGCAGGAGACCTGCATAGCACCAGCAATCTACTGACCGCTGGTGCATTGCTTTACAGTCCCCGACAGCAAAAAATAACAAATTCACATTTTTTTACCTGCATAAAAATGAGCATTTATTATTTTTTACCATAAGGTGAACTTATCCTTTAAATAGGCCATATGCAAAAAATATTAAACTATATAAGTTTCTCTCTGGTGACTATTAGGTATGAAAAGGGATAATCCCATCCTCCCCATCAAGCTAGACCCAAATTAATTGTTGGTAGCAACTCCCTATAGATGAACAACAGAGGCTTTTGTTGGGATGGGTCACATAAAAGAGCCTACAGATCGTCAGATTTCCATGAGGTATCTAAAACTTCATCTAATATGGCATTAAAGTCTCTTCCTCTGACCACCTTAGTGGGCAGCAAGGGGGCTAGGTGCTCCTGGATGCAGTGGTGTATTTAGGTTTTGTGCTGCCCTAGGCAACACAAAAATCGTCTGCCCCCACGGACACCAACCAACACCCCCCCTTCCCCCTTCGCAGAGAGAGCCTGACATTGACCAACAACACCCCTGCCCCCCCCACCTGTGAGAGCCTTCCATTACCCCTCCCCCAGCGATAGAAAGAAAGACACCCATCTTCACAGCTCCGGACATCCCCGGGAATGAGAGTCAGGCTCTACGTACACCATCAAGCTGGTTCCCATGGTGTGCATCTCCCTTCTTCCATCCCTTCTTTTGGGGGGAGGTGCTGCCCCCCTGAAAAATGCCCCTTAGGCAAGTGCCTTGTTTGCCTTGTGGTAAATAGACCCCTGACTGGATGTGATAAAGAATACCAGGATCAAAAGGAGGCGGAAGGTACACATTTACAAATGCCCACACAGTTCCATGGAACTCTATTAGCAAAATAACATACCAGCCCCCAGGATTAGTCATTACCTTCATAACTGTATATGAAAGTGATTTATGAAGGAGAATGGCAACCCCCTAGCATAAGCAGAATAGGGAGCATGAAAACCCTGTTTGACCCAGGCCCTACGGAGGGCTAATATTTTATTGCCCACAAGATGGTTCTCTTGTAAAAATAAATCTATATAAATGTTTCCAGGACCAGATTTCCATGAGCTGCTAAGCATCCACCCAGTCCACTAGATCCTGAAAAACACCCGTAGTAGGATTAGAGGTATCTAAAACTTCATCTAATATGGCATTAAAGTCTCCTTCTATAACCACTTTAGCGGGCAGGAAAGGGGCTAGGTGCTCTTAGATGTGATAAAGAATAGCAGGATGAAAGGGAGGCGGAAGGTACACATTTACAAATGCTCACACAGTTCCATGGAGATCTAATAGCAAAATAATATACCAGCCCCCAGGATCAGTCAATACCTTCATAACTGTATATGGAAGGGATTTATGATGGAGAATGGCAACCCCCTAGCATAAACAGAATAGGGAGCATGAAAACCCTGCTTGATCCAAGCCCTACGGAGGGCTAATATTTTACTGCCCATAAGATGGGTCCTTTCTAAAAATAAGAAATGGGGTTCATGGGTCTATAAATACTTAAACATTAGGGAACATTTAATTTTATCATTAAGACCCCTGATATTCAATGAAATCAGTCTGAGAGTCATAGTGAAAATAATAAAGAATATTACAGGAAGGGATCCAGAGAGCCCAAGAAACTCTTTCATAGGTCAAATAGAAAAGGGAGTTGCCAAGGCTCCATTCCAAAAAATATAGAGTCTCTCCAAGAAAAAGAGCTGCCTGACCAGTAACAAGAAGAGTGAGCAAAGTAACCATTCTACCATAGCTGAACAAAAAAAATCAACTAGTTTTAGTCCCAAACGTAGTGCAGTGTCCACTAAATAGTGAATTCTCTCTCCAAGGTCTATCACTCTGTCAACAATCTTCTGTGAAGGGAGGGGTAGAAAAGGAACAACAATAACATATCCACATGGAAATGGAGCTACCAACAGTATACATGGGTGAGTTTAGAGAGCATTAAGGAGCATGATAACAGGTACTAGTAGCAGGCTTCAGATCCCTGAACTTGGCAAAAGTACACAAACCACTAGGAGGTATGGGATGGGGGCCCCTTGACTCATTCGCTTAAGGGGGAACCCTTAAGCAACCCAAATCAGGGAAAAGTAGTATGCTGAAAACGGAAAGGCATTCCCACAATGTAGATATATGGGGAAAGGATTGTGAAGATCATCACAGCTTACCAACCCGGATCAAGGGCAAAGAATCAGCACTTGAACCAGAACAAGATGAACTTGATGTTCATTTTCAATGATCAATGCAGCATGACCAGCCAGTCATCTGCAGCTTCAGGGGTCTCAAAGAATCAGACTGTACCCCCATGAGGGGCACGCTGATGGCTGGGTTATATTATATTGTGAGGGATATTTTTGTTGCAAAGTTTCCTCCGGATGTCAGTAAAGGACTTGCTCTTCTTTTGCACCTCAGCCAAAAAAATCTGGATATAGATGAACAATGGCGTTGTCATATGGCAAGGAGGGATGCTTTCTGGCTTCACTGAGAATGCAGTCACGATCTCTGTAGTTCAAGAAGTGAACCAATAAGGGACGTGGTGGCACGCCCGGTATTCTTTTCCAGGTGGGCACCCTGTGTGCCCTCTCAACCACATATGTAGACGAGACCTCATCCAGCTGTAGGAGGTCTTTGAAAATGGTCTCTGTGAACTCCGCCTGTGTTCCCTCTGCTCCCTCTGGCTGACTAAGCACCTGAACATTGTTGCTGTTGAATCCGTTCTTTGCATCATCTGCCTTGGCAACCAGATTCTGCACCATGATCTGCAGAGACTGAAGGAGGTCTGTGTATTGGGCCGTGACATCTTCTGTGGTAGAGATCTGGTCTCAGATAGGCGGCTCCTGATCTTGCCCAGGTTATTCCTGATAAGATTGGATTCTTCAGCCACTCTGTCTATGAGGACCAGGAGAGAATTTTTGCAGTGCTCTATAGCCCAATGCATGAGGCTGGTGTTTGTATCTCCCTGCAGAGGGAGTGTCGCAACACTCTCCTGGTCTTCCGCCATCTCCAGTTCAGCTAGGAATGCATGACGGCATCCGGGAGCACCCAGGTGTGAAACGGGAAATTTTGTAGGGTTTCCGGTCAGGGAGATTGCCACACAGACCCACAAAACTGATCAGGATAGCAGTAGCTCCTAAGGTAAAGAGATTTTTTTAATGTATTTTCATCAGGAAAAGACATTTTTACATGGTCCCTGAAGGACACCTATCCTAGAAAGATAATGTCTGAAAATAGAGCTGCAGTGGAGCAGCAGCACCGAAGAACAGACCATACACGCAGAGGAACATT